CTCTGGGCGTAGGTGGTCTAGAGCAGATCCTCTTCCACCCCTCCCTCTTCCCCCTTGGGGAGGGGTTTACCCCTCCCCCTACCCCCTCCCCTGGACCTGGACGGGGGGGGCCGCGGGTAGTTAGAGCGTCCAAGATGGCCCAAGACGGCTCCAAGAGCGCCTCAGAGAACCCAAGATGAGCTCCAAGATGGCTCAAGATAGCGCAAGATCGCTCACGATGGCTCCTAAGATGGTTCCAAGAAGCCCAAAGACGGCCCCAAGATAACTCCAAGTGGCCAAACAGCTCCCCAAGGAGGCCCCGAAGAGGCCAAAATCGTCCCAAAACCTAAGGAAAATCAATGATTTTTGCTTTCTCGCCTTTTCGCTTCCGATGGCCATCCGAGGCCTGGAGATGGCTCCAAGATGGCCCAAGAGGGCCCCAAGAGAGCCCCAAAAGAGCCCCAAGACGGCCCCAAGAGCGCCCAAGAGCACTCCAAGAGCGTTCCAAGAGGGGTCCAAGAGGCGATTTTAGGGGCTTCCGAGGGGGGACGCTAATTAAACCCCCCCTCTTGTTTGATCGACTCCCTCCAAGATGGCCCCAAAAGCGCCCCGAAGGCTCCCCAGAGCGCCTCAAGAGGGTCCCAAGAGGCGCCCAAGATGCCCCAAGGCGCCCAAAAAGCCCTCCAAGAGGCCCTCAAAAGACCCCCAAGAAGCTCCTTCCCCTCCTCCTCCTCCTCCTCCGATTCTTCCTCCTTCTCCGTCCTCCTCCTCCTCCTCCTCCTCCTCCTCTTCTCCTCCTCCTCCTCCTCCTCGACGACGACGACGACGACGACGACTCCTCTTCCATCCTCCCCCTCTCGGGGTCTGTGACAGCTTCCCCCGCCCTTTGTTATTCTGCATGCTCCCCGACTTCCCTGATCACCTCAACTCCCCTGAGCATCGTTTCTGGATGGGCTGGTGGGGATACGCGAAGCGTCAACAATTTCAAGAGTTAGAAAGGAATTTCGTTGTTGGGGTCGTTTTTTGTTTTTTTAAACGACGCCGAGATGTCTGGGCCAGGAAGGAAAAAAGGAGTTAGAAAGGAAATGATAAGGAATTTCCAGAGTTAGAAGGGAATTTCGTTTTGGGTGTTGTTTGTAAACAAAAAAGAAACGACGCCGGGAGGTCTGGGCCAGGAAGGAAAAATGAGTTAGAAATGAATTGAATAAGGAATTTCAAGAGTTCGAAAGGAATTTCGTTGTTGGTGGTGTTTTTTTGTTTTGTTTTTTACGACGCCGAGAAGTCTGGGCCAGGAAGGAAAAAGGAGTTATAAAGGAATTTAATAAGGAATTTCAAGAGTTAGAAAGGAATTTCGTTTTTTGGAAATTGTTTTTTGTTTTGTTTTTTTTACGACGCCGAGAGGTCTGGGCCAGGAAAGAAAAAGGAGTTAGAAAGGAATTTAATAAGGAATATCAAGAGTTAGAAAGGAATTTCGTTTTTTTTGATTATTTTTGTTTTGTTTTTTAAACGACACCGAGAGGTCTGGGCCAGGAAGGAAAAAGGAGTTACAAAGGAATTTAATTAGGAATTTCAAGAGTTAGAAAGAAATTCATTTGCGGTGGCTGTTTTTTGTTTTGTTTTTTACGACGCCGGGAGGTCAGGGCCAGGAAGGAAAAAAGAAGTTAGAAAGGAATTTATCAAGGAATTTCAAGAGTTAGAAAGAATTTTTGTTTTTTGGGTTGTTTTTTTGTTTCATTTTTTACAACGCCGAGAGGTTTGGGCCAGGCAGGAAAAAGGAGTTAGAAAGGAATTTAATAAAGGAATTTCAAGAGTTGGAAATGAATTTCGTTTTTGGTGGTGGTTTTTTGTTTTGTTGTTTGCGACGCCGAGAGGTCTGGGCCAGGAAGGAAAAGGAATTAGAAAGGAAGTTAATAAGGATTTCCAAGAGTTAGAAAGGAATTTCGTTTTGTTGGAATTGTTTTTTTGTTTTGCTTTTTTACGACGCCGAGAGGTCTGGGCCAGGAAGGAAAAATGAATTAGAAGGGAATTTAATAAGGAATTTCAAGAGTTAGAAAGGAATTTCGTTTTTTTGGGCTGTTTTCTGTTTTTTTTACGCGCCGAGAGGTCTGGGCCAGGAAGGAAAGAAAGGAGTTGGAAAGGAATTTAATAAGGAATTTCCAGAGTTAAAAAGAAATTTCGTTTTTGGTGTTGTTTTTTTGTTCTGTTTTTTTTTCACGACGCCGAGAGGTCTGGGCCAGGAAGGAAAAAGGAGTTAGAAAGGAATTTAATAAGGAATTTCAAGAGTTAGGAAGGAATTTCGTTTTTTGGGGGGCTGTTTTGTTTTGTGGTTTGTAAAAAAAATCCTTTATAACTCCTTTTTCCGTCCTGGCCCAAACCTCTCGGCGTCGAAAAAAAAAAAAAAAAAAAACGAAAAACAACCCCAAAAAACGAAATTCCTTTCTAACTCTTGAAATTCCTTATTCAATCCCTTTCTAACTCATTTTTCCTTCCTGGCCCAGACCTCTCGGCGTCTTAAAAAAAACAAAAAAAAACCCAAAACGAAATTCCTTGCTTGCTAACTCTTGAATTTCCTTATCAAATTCTTGTCTAACTCGTTTTTCCTTCCTGGCGCAGACCTCTCGGCGTCGTAAAAAAAAACACCAAAACAACCCAAAAAACAAAATTCCTTTCTAACCTTTGAATTTCCTTATCGAATTCCTTTCTAACTCTGTTTTCCCTTCCTGGCCCTGGCTTCCTCGGGCAATTCGGACTCGATTGTCTTTGAGGTTCAGAACTATCTCTGGTATTCAAATTCCTTCATAACTCAGGAAATTCCTTATCGAATTCCTTTCTAACTTCCCAACTCAATAGAAATGCATAACCAAAATGCTCTTGGCAATATTTCGAGCCTACATTATTAATTCCCGACACAATTGTTGATGTAATTGCATACAGTGCGCACTACAGAAATAATTCCGAAACCAATTAAAGCTGTACTGTAACCAAAAAAATCAATGGTACAAGATGGCCCAATAGGCCCCCAAAACGGCCCCAAGAGGGCCCAAGAGGCCTCCAAGGCTGCCAAAATGGCCTCCCAGACCGCTAAGATGGCCCCAAGACTCTTCCAAGACGGCCCAAGATGCACCCAAGACGGCCTATGATGGCCTCAAGATGGCCCAAGACAGCCCAAGAGGTCCCCAAGAGACCCCCAAGACGGCCCAAAAGGCGTCCAGGAGGTCTTCCAGGAGGGCACGAAGAGGCCAACATCATTGATGTCCTAAGGTTTTGAACTAATTTCGGCATTTGCGTCTTCTCGGCATTCCGACGGCTCAAGACGGCGCAGGACACCCCCAAGATCGCCCAAGGGGCCTCCAAAATGGCCCCATGACGGCCCCAAAGGCCCCCAAGGCGGCCCCCAGAGGGCCCTCTAAGAACCACTGGTCTGCCCCAAGAGGGCCTCAAGACGACCAAGACAGGCCCCCAAGACGGCTTCCGACGGCGTCAGACAAGCCAGGGACGCCCTAAGACGGCCAAAGAGGCCCCCAAGAAGCCCCCAAAGGCTCGAAAAACCTTCAAAAGGCCCCCAGGAAGCTCCCAGGAGGCCCCGAGAGTGCCCCACGAGGCGCCCAAGAGGCCTCCTCCTCCTCCTCCTCCTCCTCCTCCTCCTCCTCCTCCTCCTCCTCCTCCTCCTCCTCCTCCTCCTCCTCCTCCTCCTCCTCCTCCTCCTCCTCCTCCTCCTCCTCTCCTCGCCCCCACGCGGCCCACAGGGATGGCCCGAAGAGGCCTTCCAAGGCCACCCCCTTGCTCCCAGAGATCTCTCGGTTCATCCTGGTTGCTCGCCTTGTTTCCCTAGATGTGTCCCTTCGCCCCTTTTCCTGTCAGCTCTCGTGGGCAGGGTTTCTGAATGGGCTGGTGGGGATACGTTTTTGGTCTGCGGGCTCGCGAAGCAGGTCGAAAGCCGTCCGAACACTAGCCGGGCCGCGACTGGGCAGCAAGAAAAGAGGCAAGCGAAGCGAGCGCGCGGGTGGGGATATGCGAAGCGTGAATCATTATCCCAGTGCGACCCTACCTAGGAGTTGGAGCCTCTAGGAAAGCAACATTAGCAGCAGCAGTAGTGGATGATGTGCTGCGCTATGCGGTGCTATGCTATGCTATGCTATGCTCTGCTATGCTATGCTATGCTATGCTGCGCAATGCTATGCTGGGCTAGGCTAGGCTAGGCTAGGCTATGCTGTGATGCGCTATGCTATGCTATGCTATGCTATGCTGTGCTGTGCTGTGCTATGCTATGCTGTGCTATGCTAAGCAATGCTAGGCTATGCTATGCTATGCTGCGCTATGCTATGCTATGCTATGCTATGCTATGCTATGCTATGCTGAGCTATGCTATGATATGCTATGCTATGATTGGCTGTGCTATGATATGCTATGCTGCGCTGTGCTATGTTGCACTGCGCTGCGCTAAGCTAAGGTAAGCTATGCTAAACTAGGCTAAGCTGAGATAAGCTAAGCTAAGCTAGGCTAGGCTAAGCTAAGCTAAGCTAAGCGAAGCCAAGCTAAACTAAGCTAAGCTAAGATGAGATATGCTAAGCTAAGCTGAGCTAAGCTAAGCTCAGCTAAGCCAAGCTAGGCTAGACAAAGCTAAGCTAAGCTAAGCTGAGATGAGGTAAGCTAAGCTAAGCTAAGCTTAGCTTAGCTTAGCTTAGCTAAGCTAAGCTGGGTGAAGCCAGGGGGCGCGACTGGGGGAACCGCCCGGGGCGCTTTCCACTGCCCGGCCCCTTTAAGCTAGAGAGTAAGAACCCTTCTAGGCAGAGCCTAGGTAGGGAATAAAGAGAATAATAATAAGAAGAGCAGGAAGGAGAAGACGAAGAAGAAGAAGAAAGACGAGGGCGCCATGATATCCTTGGAAATCTGATGGCCCCGGCCATGATCTCCCTGGCCATGATCTCCACCCCTCCCTGGTCATCACGCACAATCTTGGCCGCCCCCGAAGGCGCACCAAAGGCCACTCACATGAATGAAGCAGGATCACCCCCCTGGTCCTTGACGTCGCCGGGCGCGTGCTCGTCCAGCAGCGCCCAAGGGTCAAGCCCCGCCGCGCGCGCGACGACCTGTGGGGCGGTGGCCAGCGTGCTGGCCCTGCCGCAACCGCCCCGAGCCCCACGGGAGGAGAGGGAACTTCTGCATGCCGAAGGGCCTCGCGCTGGAGAAAGGGGGGGAGGAGGCAGGAGGCACGAGAGCAGCAGGGGGGGAGGAGGAGGGAGGAGGGAGGAGGAAGGAGAGAGGAGGGAGGGGAGGTAGGGAGGAGGGCAGGAGGGGGGGGGGGAGGGGCTTTGCCCCGGAGAAGGAAGGAGGAATGGAGGAGGGTAAGGCTTTGCGCTGGAGGAGGAAGGAGGAGGTACAGTCCTCGTGCTAGGAACGCCAACTAAGGAACGAATGAGCTTTCGTGGCCATGGCGAGCCACGGGAGGAGGAGGTAAGAGGAGCGATGCCCTGGGAGGTCTTCGCGCGCGAGAGAAGGGGACTAATCGGGATTGACGGTCGATCGAGCTATATTAATCTAGATGGGCCTAAGGTAATTAGGTTGTATTTAGTCGGATTACTGTTGATTAGGCCGGAATGGTCTGGACCACCATCTCCACCGCCGCCGCCGCACCCGAGGAGGGAAGCGAAGCAGTAGGCAGTAGTTCCATCGCTTGCTCACACCCATACCATCAAACGTCCCTATCTCGCGTACTCGTAAACTCGGGTGGCGCAACGCTCTACAACATCGTGCCTTTTACTACGCAGCTTCAAACGGAGGACCGTGCACTCAGAAAAGTGGCGAGAAGGTAAGATGAGGAGAAGGGGGGTGACGGTAGGAGCTAGATGGGGATAATGCGAGGAAGGGGAACAAGAAGTCGTGACGCCCCTTGCCCAGCGAACCTTGTACCGCACAGCGGGCTTGCAGCGCAAATCCGCACAGCATCTGGAAAACATGCCCCCTCGGCCCGCTTCATGCTCACGCGGCTTACTCCCAGAATTTCCCCTCGTCCCCCACCCCCTCCCTGTCGCCTCCGGATTGCTGCTACCCCCTCCCTGCCCCTTCGTCCGACACGAAGCGCCAGCGCGCCGCTCTCGGCACCGGCCGTTCGGGACGATCCGGGCAATACCTGCCATCGCTCGGACGTCCATTCCCCCGTGCAGTTCTCGGTTTCGTGCGTGGCTTTCTTCGCAGAATGGCCCAGTATTCGGGTCGGGCGAAAGGGGGGGATAGCAAAGGGGGGGTTGAGAATCAGCTCACGTAGCTGATTTTCCCGGCGCCTCCCGGCGCCGGAGGCGACGATGTATCAAGGAATGGGCCCCTCGGTGGGGCCGAAACCAGCTGCATGCAGCAAATGTCGTACCCCCCCTTTCCCAATCCCCCCCCTATCGCCCGGCCCGAAGTCTGCTCCCCGACGGCCCTCGCCGAAAAAAAAGGCCCACGTCCGCGCGATGCCAGGGGGCACTTCTGGAGCGCCCGCGGCGCGGCGCCGCTGCCGAAAAAGCACCCCGAGGCTGGAGCACCGCCGCGAGAGCCCCCGCGAGCGTGCCCGAGGGCCTCCGACGCCCTGCTGCCTCCGACCCCCGAGGCGCCCCCGCGCCCCATCGGCCCCTCGGCCCCCCCCCGTGGGGCCGAAGGGAACCGCTGCCGCCGGGGGGGCCCCGCGCCCCTCGGCCCCTCGGCCCCCCCCGTGGGGCCGCAGGGAGCCGCCGCCGCCGCCGCCGCCGCCGCGGAAGGCCAGAGGCACCCCCGGGCAGCCCCCAAAAAGAGGCGACAGTAGGGGAACAAAACGTGGCATGAACAGAAAAACTCGGAGGTCCGCGCGGATTTCTCGGATCGGCGCTGGGGCCCCCCGGCGGCGCCTCCGGCGCCGCCCCTGGCGCGCTCCGCGCGCCAGGGAGGGGGGTCCAGCGCCGATCCGAGAAATCCGCGCGGTCCTCCGAGTTTGTATGTTTATGACACTTTTTGTTCCCCTAGACAAACAAACATACATCCTCAGACCTCGTGCCGTGGCCGGCGGCGCGACAAGGGGGGCGAGGCGAGGGGGGCAATCCGGGGGCGTGCAAGGGGTAAGGGGAGGATAGTAGAAGAAGGAAAAACGGCATAAACATAAACTGTTGGCGCTCCGCGCGGATTCCTTGGACTCGCGCTGGGCCCCCCCCCTGGCACGCGCAGCGCGCCAGGGGCAGCGCCGGAGGCGCCGCCAGGGGGCCCAGGCGCGGATGCGAGAAATCCACGCAGAGCGCCAAAAGTTTATTCTAATTTGGCGGTGCGCACAAGGGGGTGGAGTGAGGGGGGAGGGCGTCTTATACAAGGAGGCTGCTTCTCAGAAGGCGCCGGCCCCCTCCCCCCACCCCCCTCTGCGCGTGGCTGGTTTATGTTTAGGTCGGGCCTGTCCCCCTACAGGGGGATTTCGGGCGAAATATGAAAATGCCAAATGCTCAAACACAGTCCAAAAATCATCCCCAGACTATTGTTTGACTAATTTGGAATGTTCCACCTGTAGAGGGACAGGCCCGACTTAAGCTTACGTGAGTTTTTCTTCTTCGAGCGAGGCCCGCGCGGCGCGGCGCCTGCCGCCCTGGCGGGCGCCCCGAACGGGGGTCGCGCCGCCAAAAAAGCAACGGAACGCAGGCAAACCCCAGGAACGACCGAGCCCCTCTTGAAAAGGAAGTGCTCCACATTCAAGCCGGACCCTGCATGTGAGCTTTTGATTGAGCAGGGACCGACCGTCCCCGCATTTCTATATGCCTACCACGAAGTGTTCCTAGAACCCAAGAATGTTCCAAGAACAAAAACACTGCTCTCAGAACAGAAGCCCGATGTGTTAAACCAAGACAGACCCCGCCAGAAGTGTTCAGAGAACACTTCGTGGAAACCACAAAAGGTTCTCAGAACACTGTTTGGTATCGGGGAGACGTAAGGCTCGGGTACGGGGGACTCGGGTTGGCCTGACGGGGCCATAATAAAAATGACGAGGCCCAATCTGAAATTTGACGCGAGCTCCCGCTGCAGACATCCCACGAAAACGGGACCGTCAGAATCCAGGACGCGCTCGTCAGAAAACGTCGGCAAACCCGAGTTCCGGCTTACTCGAGTCTTACGCTTCCCCGACTGTTTGGTAGGACGAGAGGCACGCCAGGACGCTTCGCCACTGCTTGACTTTCCCCTTCCTCGCGCGGGGCGCCGCGCGGGGCGGCGCCCGCCGCGGCGCCTTGGCGGGCGCTCCGAAGGCCGGCGCGGGGGCGGCGCCCAGCGGCGGCGGGTCCTGCCGCGCGCCCCGCCGGAGAGGCGCGGGGCGCTCGCGGGCGCTCGCGCGGCGCTCGCGCGGCGCTCGCGCGGCGCTCGCGCGGCGCTCGCGCCGCGCGGCGGCCCGCGGCGGCCCTGGGCGGAGGTCGGGCGTGTCCTCCTACAGGCGGAGCTTGGGCGAAAAAGAAACAATTCTCAATATACATATGTAGCTGTAAAATTATATAGACGCAACAAATGTTCAAAGATAGTAATAATACATATATATATATATATATATATATATATATACACGAAATTTAATACATATACATATATATATATATATTCCAACCAAAAAAACGTCGCCGAACTATGTTGTGGATATTTTTCGACCTTCCCCCAGTGGAGGGACCTGCCCAGCTTCACCTGGGGCGGCCCCCCGAAGCCTTCAAGAGGCCCTCGGCGGCGGGCCCCTTCGGGGGCGACCACGGGGGTGCATAGCCCAGGGGAGAGCAATACATGCATCCAGGGGCGCCCCGATGGGGAACCCCCGAACTGACAGTTCGAGCCCTCGGCCCCGAGGGGTCCCCAGGAGGTTCCAAGAGGCCCCGAAGAGTCCTCCAATAAGCCTCAAGAGGCCTCCCAGAGGCCCCCAGGGGAACCCCCCAGTAGGCTCCCAGGGGAGGCCTCCCAGAGGCCCCGAAACTGCTCCCGAGGGGTTCCAAGGGGGAGTGCGCGCATGCCCGCCCCTGGGCTGTTCGCCCCTATCGTCGCCGCCGGGCACCGCTGCGCGCCACAGGGTGCGCCGACCCCGGCGCAAGGCCACTACAGCGTTTCAAAGCACGCCCCTCACGAGACCAGGCGATTCGCCACCACCCCTACCATGGGTAGGAGACGCAGGAGGGAGGGGAGCAGGAGGAGGAGGAGGGCGACCGGGAGGATGGCGAGGGGGAGGGGGAGGAGGAGAAGGAGGAGAAGAAGAACGAGGAGGAGGAGGAGGAGGAGGGGTAGGAGGAGGAGGAGCAGGAGGAGGAGGAGGGGGGCCCACGGCGGTCCAAAACAGCAAAAAACCTTGGGGGGGGGCCTGGGCCTTGCCCCAGGATCACCTCTTCTGGCAGCCGCCAGCGCTCGGCGGCCGGCCACCCGGCTTGCAGGCCAGGGGGAGCCCAAGGCGCTGCACCTCCCACCAGGTCCCCTGCGATCCGACGTCGCAGCGAAACATCACGCCCTGGGCCCCAGACCCATCTTCCTGCGTCACTGTTCGACCCGCATCGATCCGCGAGTGTGCTGGGGCCCGAACAAAAAATACGAAAACGCCCAGCTCGAAACCATCGAGTCGCCAGGAGCTCAGGGTCGCCCGCCGTCACACTGCGCGCCGCGCAGGGCACGACCCTCGGAGGGCACCCCGTAGCCGTCCCGTGCGCTGGCTGGCGGCTCCTGATCTCCGCCGGGTCGCTGCCCGTGGGCGCCTCGTCGCGACAGCGTGCGCTGGATGCACCACGCAGGTTGCACAGCGTGGGCTCGCACCACGTGGCCTGTACCGCGCTGGCTGCACCGCACGAGCTCGCAGCAAATAGGCTGCACCAATGAGCTCACATCACCCAGCTTGCACCGTGTAGCTTGCACAGTGCAGCTTGCACAGCGCAGCTTGCACTCCACAGCCTGCGCCATCCCTATTGACCACATAACTTCCACCACATGAATCGCACCACCTGGCTACAACCACCTGCATGTGTGCACAAACCCACTGGTCCATGAGGTAGATGTCCCACGCATCGGCATGATGTAATGCCTACCTGCGTGACGCAACGAGGATCCATTCGGATGCCCGTGTCTCTTCCCGCAGGGTTACAGATCTGCTCGCATTGTTCTGCTGGCGCGCCACAGGCTGAACTTCCCACTCCGTGACCCGTGACCGCGGCGGCGAACGCGTCCTCGTCTGCTCACCGTTTCCTTCGTCTACCTAGAGAGCTCACTGCAAAGGTCGCGTCACACCAGCAAGTACGTTCCCTACAACTGTTTCCCCGACAAGACGAAGATTCTACAAGATCGCTTGTGCGTACCGCTGACGTCCCCGTATCTTCAGGAACAGAATGCTGCTCCCACTCTGGTCATACGCGTCGTGCCTCCTCACTTCCTGTGTATCACGACTTGTCCTATCGCAGCATAGTCATCCTTATTCTCTGCCTTCCCCTCATTACCTTTCCCGCTTCCTCCCATCTCGTCCTCACTAATTTCATCATCCCCCTCTCCTCCTCCATCTCCGTCCTGCTTTCCCTGAGCATTCCTCCTGCTCCTCCTGCTCGCCCTCCCCCTTTTGCTCTTTCTCTCTCTCTCTCTCTCTCTCTCTCCTCAGCATGCCCTCCGATCGCTCTTTCGCCTTCTTCGCCCATTCCCCGCGGCGCCCCCACAACTCACAGACCCTCCCCGAGGGACACCCTGGCAGATCTCTGGGGTCCCCAGGTCGAGAACGACATCGACGACGACGACGACACCGACTGTGGAGGCCTCCCGAACTGGGTACGCGTAGTTGGGGCCGGAGCATCGTACCTCATCGCCCTTGCCTCCGCGATGCATCGTCGATGCATCGACGATGCATCGGCGACGCATCGGCGACACATCGGCGATGTCGGCTTGGACACACTCGGGTTCCACATCAATCGGGGAGACGTAAGACTCGGGTTAGGTGGACTCGGGTTGGCCTGACGGGGCCATCATGGAAATAGACGCGAGCTCCCACTGCAAACAACCCACGAAATCTGTACCGTCAAAATCCAGAACGCGCTCGTCAAAGAGCGTCGGCGCACCCGAGTCCGGGCGTACTCGAGTCCAACGTTTCCCCGAATCCAGCCGCACGTCGCCGAGGCGTAGCCGATGCATCGGCGACGCCTCGGCGATCCGCGGCGCGATTTTCAGAACCCGCATGCGCGAACCCCAGCTGTTTGGGTGACCCAGGAGGGGTTCCAGCTGAAATGGGGTGGTGCAATAGATTCGGCGCCATTGTACTGTAAACGTCTTGCGCCGGAGAATTGGATTGCATTGCACTGCAAGTCGGGTATTGCACGCGAGAATCCAGCCATACATCTGCGCCCTGGAATGTACTGCACGCCCCACATGTAATTGCAACCCCGCAAATCTATGGCACCAAATCTATCGCATCACCCCCTCGTCTCTGGACTCCCTTTTGGGTCAACCGGCCTGCGCGGACCCCAGCTTGATGGACATGTTTTCCACCACCACCACCACCACCCTAAGTTGGAGGGGGAGGGGGTCCTCCTTCTCCTCCTCCTCCTCCTCCTCCTCCTCTTCCCCCTCCTCCTCTTCCCCCCCTCGTCGTCCTCCTCCTCCTCCTCGCCCTCCACCTCCTTCCCCCCTCCAACAGATGGTGGTGGTGGTGGAAAACAGGCCCATCCCAGCTGGGAGGCTGGAGGCTGGCGCCCGCCCGCCTCCAGCTGCTGCAGCGGCGTGGTGCAGCCCCCGACGGGCGTCGGCGGAGCGAGGGCGCCGCCCGGATCCGCGTCGGGCAGCGGCGACGCCTGCCGGGCGGCGAAGGGCGACGGCGGCGGGCGCCAGTGCGGGCGGCGTGGAGTGCGCAAGCCCCTCCTCCTCGTCCTCCTCCTCATCCTGCGTCCTCCTCCTCCTCTTCCTCCCTCCTCCTCCTCCTCCTCCTCCTCCTCCTCCTCCTCCTCCTCTCCTCCTCCTCTTCCTGCTTCCTCCTCCTCTCCTCCTCTCCTCCTCCTCCCCTCCTCGATCCTACCTCCTCCTCCTCCTCCGCCTCCTCCTCCTCCTCCTCCTCCTCCTCGATCCTCCTTCTCCTCCTCCTCCTCCTCCTCCTCCACCTCCACCTTCTCCTCCTCTTTCTCCTCCTCCCCCTTTCCCGCCCCGCCCCGCCCCGCCTCCTCCGTCCACGGACCTCCGGCGATATGATGAGTTCGCCCGTGGCGTTTTCCCTCATGGTCGGCCTCAGGGGCCCGCCATCTGGTCCCGTGGCGATCGGAAATGGAGCCGGGACGACCAACTACACCAGAGAAGGGGTCGGGACCGATGGGGCTGCGTGTGGGACAAAGACTCAGCGTTGGATGTGTGGGCCCGTCCACGTAGTAGAATCGAAGACGGCCGCACGCGAACGGCACACTGGGACGAGGACAGGCCGAAGATAGCACGAGGATGCAGCCATGATGCGATTTTGGCTGAGGGTATGATCCAGGAATTCCGACCTTTCTGGTGGCCCTTGGCCGTTCGGACTTGGCTACTCGTTCCTGCCCTCGGGGGACAACCAGGTATCCTGCAAACCCTCAGACGTATCATCCTCATGATTCCTTGCTCCTCCGAGAAGGAACAAGGATATCAAGAGCTGCACCGGTGGCTCACCTCATCCTTAAGGTCAGAAGCCCCTCGAATGGGGTCCGAACAAATGGATACGGAGGATCGCGCAGCTTCCGCGACGCATCGGCGATGCCTCGGCGGTGCATCGGCAACGTCGGCGGGGAGAAGGTCGGAATCCACGTCGAGCCCTATCGCCGATGGACCGGCGACACGGCGCGAACCGCCGACCCCGCCTACTCTGGCCCTACCTGAGCGACGGAAAGAAACGGGTCTCACGCGAGATGCCGTAGCGACCTTAAGCCGCAGCCTACGCGGGCCGCGCCAGCGCGGCACGCCACATTGGAAACGAGGGCGCTCATGCGCGCCCTTACCACAGAAGGGTCTTCGCCCCCCAACAACATGAGAATACTTGTTGGTGGGGGAGTGGATGAGGACCCCTGGTGATGATGATGACGATGATGATGTTGGTGAAGATGCTGATGATACGGGCGATGCTGATGCTGATGATGATGATGATGATGATGATGATGATGATGATGATGATGATGACGATGCTGCTGAGAATGATGATGCTCATGAAGGTTACGGGTGATAGTGATGGTGATGATGATGATGCTGATGGTGGTGATGCTGATGTTGGAGATGGAGATGGTGATGGTGATGGTGATGGTGATGGTGATGGTGATGGTGATGGTGCTGATGATGATGATGATGATGATGATGATGATGATGATGATGATGATGATGATGATGATGATGATGATGATGATGATGATTGTAGTGGTGGTGCTGATGATGGTGATGATTATGATGATGATGTTGATGGCGATGGTGATGCTGATGGTGGTGATGGTGGTGATGATGGTGATGATATGATGATTGGGAAGACGAGGAGGGGAAGGACGAGTTTAACTGCCGGCCGAGAGCTTGGGTGGGGGGGCGGGCAGCATCAAAGACGCCCTGGGGTTGCGCGGGCGAGTCGCGCGCCAGTGTCCGTGCAGACCACCTCGCTCTTCTGCCTCGCTCCTCCGCGCGGCCCGCTGGAGGCGCCTGCCTCCCCCCACCCCTCCCCCACCCGAGAGGGGTGGCCTTGGGGGCGGGCGGGGCGGGAAAGGTGGAGGAGGAGAAAGAGGAGGAGAAGGTGGAGGTGGAGGAGGAGGAGGTGGAGGGAGGAGAAAGTGGAGGAGGAGGACGAGGAGACTAGAGACGAGGAGGAGGAGAGGAGGAAAAGGAAGCAGAAGGAGGAGGAGGAGGAGAAGAGGAGAAGGTGGGGGGTGGAGGAGGAGGGGAGGAGGAGGAGGAGGCGGAGGAGGAAGAGGAGGACGAGGGTGAGGAGGAAGCAGGAGGTGGGAGGAGGAAGAGGAGGACGAGGAGGAGGAGGACGAGGAGGAGGAGGAGGAAGAAGCAAGGAGGAGGTGGCCTGGGGGCCGTCGCCCACTGGCGGCGGCAGCTCCCGCAGCAGCTCCTGCAGCCGGTCGTCCAGGTCCTGGACCTGGCGCGCGCCGGGGTGGGGCCGGGCCGCCAGCATGCGTTTCCTCCCTCCTGAAGGGGGGAGGAGGAGGGGGAGGAGGAGGTGGAGGAGGACGAGGAGGAGGAGGAGGAGGGGGAGGTACGCGACGAACTTACAGGGCAGTGTTTAAACATTGGATTTCCCACAAATATCGGATTTTGAATACATGAGTAATGCATGCATAAACTTATGCACGAACGCATCGCTGTTTTTAAGACTAGATCCCTGCATTTTTGATACATGATCCGCACGCGGAGCAGGTATTACAAACGGCACTGTATACACACAGGCAACCTCCGACGAACTTCGCGTGTACTTGCAGGGAGGGAGGCTGTGCACAGCGTCGCTGGCTCTCAGTGGTGATGTGTGCGCCGCCACCCTCCCCCCTCAGGCCCAGGATCAATCCATCGGAGGTTGTGGCGGAGGAGGGGGAATAACCAGCCTCGAACTTATTCCTATCCCTAAGATTGGCAAGCCCAAGGCGAAGATGACCTCAGGGGTGTGCCTTCAGACACTGGGGGTGCCATAGATCGGCACAGAGGTAATGTGACGCCAATCGAGAGGACAATGCGATGTTTCAAGCTGGTAAGAAGAGACGAACATACCGCCTGCCGGTCCGAGGGGAGCGGGCCCTGGGCCCCAGGGCCTTCCGCCTCCTCCTCCTCCTCCTCCTCCTCGAACACTGCAGGCAAGGCGGTCTGTCCGCCGCAGCCCGAGCCGCGCCGCCGCGCGCGGCGCGACGCACGGCCCCCTTCCTCGGAGAGCCTCGGGAGGGGGCCTCAAATTGCCTCTGGAACCCAAGGCCACCCGCCGCCAGGAGAGAGAGAGACGCCTTAAGTGGCCTCGGAGAGAAGGAATGCGGGAGCCCCGAGAGCCCAAGGGTCCGAAGGCCAACGGGAAGGCGCGGGGACAGAGCGAAGGCGAGGGCCACCAGGGGCGCGGGAGAGGGGCCACCTGGACCAGGAGGGGGAGGGGAGGCCAGGCCAGATTAAACGATCACTTGTGGATCGCCCAGGGCCCGTCTCCGTTCCAGCATCCGTCACCCAACCGACGGTCGCGTACCACATGTCGGCGCGTTGCGACTCTTTGGGTGACGGAGGCTGGTGGAGGGGCGTCGCTGAGACAACAGTCTCGGTAGTGTAAACGGCGCCGTTCCCCCTAGTCGGGGGAAGGCGGAGAGCAAGGGGCAGGGCCCGAGGGGGAGCACCCGACAGTGAGAGGGGGGAGGGGCCTCAAGAGCCACAGGGAACCTCAAGGAAGAAGGACGGGACCCCCAACGGGCACGCTGAACTAGAAGTCTCCTGAGGCCTCCAAAAAGCGGCGGGCCGCCGGGGCCTGTAGTCACTGGTAGGTGTTCATCTCATCCCCCTCGCACCGCGAGGGGGCCTTCGTGATGATGTGGGGCCCGTACAATTGATGGTTCGGGGCGATCGCGTGGTGGTCGCTGCCGCCGTCGATCATGTGCCCCTGTTACGGGCTGTGAGGATGTCTCCTGGCAGTGTGGAGTCGGTGATCCAGGTCGCTGACGATGAGCCTATGTGGCCGCCATATTCGTAAGTGATGCGGGGCAGTTCGAGGCTTGTGGCTGCGGATGTCCAGGTCGCGGCTCGAGGAGCACCGCGCCTGGACGTTCTGACATCCAGCAATCGTTGCCATCATATCCATTATAGTGCCACGTCTGTGCCTTTGTGTATGCGTCGGCGGTGGGCTGGAGTGTTTGCTCTATGGCCTGCGTTAGTGTCGTTGTCATGGTGATGTCTGCATGGCAGTTGCAAGCAGTGAATGCTGTGGTCAGGGTTGTGCTGCACGTCGTTGTGATGTATGCATATTCCTGTATCTGCAGGTGTCGGAGGCTGCTGTCCAGGATGATGGTAGGTGTGCGCATCATCATCATCCGCTGTGCGGTCCGTAAGACGTGCCGCATGCTGTCGTTGTCTTGTCGTACCGCTCTGTGCTGCGTGGGTGTGAGGTCCAGTCGTCCCCAAGGTGCCTCTTGCGTCCTGAGGTTGAGATCGCGGTTGAAGGTCGTGAGGTCGGCGTCGATGATGCAGAAGGCAGCATGGTCGTATGGTGTCGTGGCCATGTCGGAAGCCGTTGGGTCAGTTTGGGGTGGGTGCCTGGTTGGCAGGTGGTGGAGTTCGATGGAGATGCTGTGTCTGTCTGCGGTGGCTTGGAGGGCGTCGGTCACCGCGCTGGTGTGGTCGTGGTTGGTGGTGAAGAGCAGTACGATGCTGGGCTTTCCTGTGATGTCGGTCATTCCCGTGTCTGCTCGGTTGGGTCCGCTGTCTTGTGTGGTGGGTGCGTCGGTGGGTAGTTGGGCTGGTATTGGTCGGTGGTCGTGGTCGGCGTGGGTTGGTGGTCCCAGTGATGGCCCATGTAGCTGGATGGGTGGCCGCTCGGCGTAGTCTTCTGGAAGCCCAGCGTGTCGGTTGGATCGTCGTACGCGTCGGGTCTCCTCCTTGTGCGCGTCGATGTCTTCTGTTGGCGGCTTCGCTCCGAACTGCATCAGTGTGGCTGCACACTGGCGTGACGATTTGACGTGTTTGGTAAGTCTGTTCGCGGTGTAGAAGTACTTCAAGCATACCTGGCAGGTGTCACCGACGATGTAGTTGTCTATGGTGTGCTTGTCCTGGTGGACGGCGTAGACATGCTTGTTGTGTGCTGCTTTGGTCTTGAATGTAGCACCGCAATGGTAACACATAACTCTGGCTGGTGCTGGTGTCGTGGTTCCTGCTTGTCGGGGTAGTGGCAGCACTCCCAGTGCTGTTGCCGTTAGCGATAGGTCTGCGCGCAGCTGGTCCTGCGCTGCTCGGTCGGAGGATGAGTCTTGTGCACGCTTGTAGGTGCTCGTAATAAAAGACTTGACCGTTTGCATGTCGTTGCGTGCAGCCTTGATGAAGTCGATGATGTCCTTGGGTGCGGTGGTGATGCGGGTGCCGTCGCAGTGCTGTCGGCATGTGTGGATGTCGTTGTTGATGGTTTGCGTCCAGGTGCCGTTGACTTCGATGTCGTAGTCAATGAGTGCCTGCGTTTCGTACGGGCATCCTTTTATGAGTCGCAGAAGTTCTCGCAGTCGTAGCCATCGTAGTCGGTCTTCGAGGTTCGGTAGTTGAGCACGTGCCAATATCTGCTCGTTGGTGATGTGCTTGTCCTTCATGGCCTTGTGCGTAATTCCTATTGCCTGTCGAGCCGCAGTGACGTAGGCTGTGTTGATCCTGTGGTAGTCCCGCGCTGTTGTGATGAGCCATGTCCCCGCGTTAAATAGCAGTCTTGAATAGCCGAAGGACTCGAGGTAGTGGATCTTAGTCTGGATGGAGATGGCTTGTCGTTGGAACAAGGTGCGTCGGAGTGGGCCTGTTGTCTCGCGTAGCGCGATGGTGCGTGCTGCCGTCTCCTGGCCCATGTCGTTCCTGTCGTTGAACATCGCGCCCAGCAGCTTGGTGCTTCTAGCGATGGTGACGCAGAGCCCCATGTCGGTGATGCTGTGGTTGTCCCGTATCATGGTCCGTGTAGCTCTTTTGCCTGCGACGGTGTTGGGGTAGACGATGAAGCTGGACTTCTTGGTGTTGATCGGGAGGCCTCTTCGCAGTGTCGCGCGTATGAGATGTCCCCACATCTTGGAGATGAGTGCGTGGATCATGGTGCCGTCTGCCGTGGATGCAGCCGCCTTGACGTCGTCTACGAAGGATGTAGAGGACTGTGTGGCGTTGTGGTCGCAAGCTCGGAGACGTGGTGGGGCATGCGGTATGTCGAAAGTCGCTCCATCCTCGACGGCGTGGTCGTGGTAGTCTCGCGTGACGTCCGCCATGAGCATGGTGAATGTGAATGTGAAGTTCGGCTGATTGGTACGCACAGGGCGTGTACCAAAGTTCGTTAGTGCTGCTTAGGCTGCACTGAGTCGTCAATTATAGAAACCAAGAAAAAAAAAAAAAAAAGAAACAAAAAAAAACAAATAAAAAGAAAGAAAAAAAAAAGTGAGGTCCCAGTGTGTGGCGCTCCGTGAGCATGTCGACATTGTGTTGGTTGTCCACGTGTTGGTTGACAATGCCGTTGTCGGTCATGAGGGCCTCAATCGCGGGAAGCATGACATGGGGGATGTCGATGTGGGCGAGAAGGTCGTCCAGCTGCTCCTTGGTCTGGGTGAGGTTGTACACGAGCTGGTTGACTACCTTGTGGAAGGCTGCTTTCAAGTCTATCATGATGATGACCATGTCGTGCTTCAAGTGGTAGGCGGTGTTGAATAGGAGCCGCATCGTCATGTGGTTGATGTCCGTGCTGTAGTGGTGTCGGCCTCCCGTCTGGGTGGAGAAGAGCATCGTGGGGATGAGGTCCTTCATGCATTGTCTGATGTATCTGTAGTGGTGCTTGATGACGGTGTTGGCTAACGTGATTGACCGCTGGTTGTTCAGGTCCTCCTCGCTGCCCTTGCCCTTCCAGAAGTACGTCATCCTGGACCCCTTGAGAGCTACGCCCTCCCTGCATAAGAGCGCCGCTTTGGTGATGATCGGATGCATGTGTCGGGCCATCTGCCGTGGGGCGATCTTGGAGAAGTCGTCGGATACACGATCTGGTCCTGGTGCGCGGTGAGGTCTCGCTTTGTGAAGGATGTCGGTGAGCTCGTAGATGCTGGAGAAGTTGTTGACGTGGCGCGTTCTCCTGGGCTGAGCTGGGTCGGTCCTGTCCTCCTTGGCGTTGTATCTGTCAACCACGTCCTGAGCGGAGAGGATGTCGGCTGCTTCGTTGTGTCCGAAGTGGCGTGTGGCTGCGTCGGCCTTGCTCGTGGAGCTATCGAGGACAGTGCCGTCTGCTGCGTTCATCATGGGGTATGCTTGCCGCTTACGTCTCTTGCGGCCGCCGAATAGCAGGAGCTTCTTGGTGTACTTCCACTCGGTGTACGTGTCGCCAGTGCGCTTTGCATCCATTGCCTTTTGTGCTTGCTCTTCCAAGAACGCGTCGTAGTCCCTGTCGGTCATCTTGACGATTACTTTTCTCGTGGCGTCGATCCAGTGCCGTACGTG